AAATAAAAAAATGTAAAAAATAAAATAAAATAAAATAAATACCAAGGATAAGCTTATATGCATAAGTGCTCAACGCATTTTGATTCCTCATCCTTTTCTTATGTCCTAACCTACCTTAATAATCATTTGTAGAATAAATTCTGATTTTAATTTAAAAAAAATTCACATTATATAACATCACCTCCAATAAATATCATCAAAAAAGTCTTGAAGTATCAGAAAACTAAGCTCACAATGGTATATACAATTTTTTAAAATTCTAATTTTTCACTTGAAAGCTCAAGTTTTATCAAGCTCACTTTATTTTCAAGAATTACCATAGTTAGTCTGTTAGTTATTGTTTCAAGTAAAAACAATGTTCTGTGAAAAAGGGGGCTAGTTCAGCTCACAATCCAAACTAGTCTACAAGTGCTTTTCCTCAAGACAACCAATTTACCACTGAATGTGCAAGTGTTTTATGAAAAGTACTCATTTCATCACATAGAATGTTAAAAATCTCAAGGGTGAAGATTTAATAAAATTAGTAATTTCATTCCTTTATCAAGGACATTCTTAAGTGAAACTGGCTTTTCTTACCTGTGCATAACAATAGTGAAGAAAATGACTATTAATACAATACACTATCTTCACTGCACTAAAGCACCAACAGTTTTACCAGTCTTTGCTTTTGCATCACCAGTGCAAATGTCAAGACAGTAAAAAAAAAAAAAAAAAAAAAAGGCAAGCAACATCTTAACATCACTATGAAAATACTTCTGACTTTACAAACTGCCTAAAAAAAATCTCAGGAATCTCCAGAGCTCCCTTGAGAACTGCTGCCCTAAGGACACTGAAAGAACTTTGGGAAGTGGAGTTCACAAACATTAGAATGTAGAGAAGGAAAAAACTTTCAGATCTCATTCTGGTCCAATTCTCTTATTTTATAAATGAGGAAACCAGGGCACAAAGAGCATGGGTTTGCCATCTCACACAGTAGCAGTAATGTGATAGCACTTAGATTTCTGAGTTGTGTTCTACTCTGCTTTGATTACACTATTTTTCCTCTTTTTCAAAAATGGATTTAGCAAATTCCATACTTCCCTTCTTTAAACTAAGCAATGATATAAATACGTACATTTTGTGGCGAAAAGGAGTTTCTCTCTCCTAACGGAGAGTTGAGTTTTGCCGTCTTTCCTGAAGCAACTTTTGCATCCGAATGGGGTACCTCCTTTTCAAAACAATGACGTTTTCTAATCTGTAAACACAGAACCAACATGAAGTTGAATGTAAACTAAAAGTTTAATGAGGCTAGTTGTTCTCAAAGATCAAAATAGCTATAATGAGTTTTTCCAGCATTAAAAAAGAAAAAGACTATTTCTAACTGGCAACAATCAAAAAATTTCTAAAAATACAAATAAAATAGACTTAAATAAAACAGAATGACTTAAATAAAATAGAATGTAGTAGTATCTCTCAAATTCCAACTAAAATAGCTTTAATTAGTGATATGTCAAAACTAAAGTATTGTAAAATGATCTTTCAGTAAAAACACCATATGGACACCAAGTATAGTATTATAGCATACTTCACAAATCTAATTGGAAAATAAAAGTAAGTAAAAATGGAAATCTCTACCAGGGGGAAGGGGGTGGGAAGGGACAAATTGGGAGTTCAAGATTTGCCAATACTAACTACTATATGTAAAATAGATTAAAAACAAATTTCTTTTGTATAGCATAGGAAACTATATTCAACATCTTATAGTAACCTATAATGAAAAAGAATATGAAAACAAATATATGTAGGTGTATGTATGACTGAAATATTATACTGTACATGAGAAATTGATAACACACTGTAACTGACTGTACTTCAGTAAAAAAAAAAAAAGAAAACCTCTCCTAAATTGAAAAAAAGAATAAAAAATTTAAATGTAAAAATTCATTATTTCCTACATAATAAAATCAATTACTTCATTACTATTATTATTATTACTTACTAGATACTTGATAATCCAAATTGTATTTGACTAAATTTTTTTATAAATACCATTGTTTTCTTTCCAAACTGTCTATGCTTTTTCTACTTGCCAAAAACCTACTTATTTAAATTATAAAGGGGAAAAAAAGTATTTCCACTGATAATTCCATTCCTATCAAAAAAAAAAAAGAGAGAGAACCAACGAAGTCAAGGAATAAATGCTATATATTGAGTCCAACTTCACAACACCGAAATCTATGTACACATCTTGGGGGGGTAAAAAATCTCTAGATTCACACTTCATTGGTAGTTGGTGCTTTTCCAAATATAACCTGGCAAATTGATTAATTCTATTTCTAAAAACGAGTGTAATTACAGAAGATAATAAATGGAACAGATAAACTACATAAAAATGCAACACTTTTTGAGTATATTCAAATAAAAATATACAATTCTCTACAAATGACATGCTAATTAATAATAATCTTTTTTATTTGTAACTAAGTCTGTTAAAGTCCTAGTCTCCCTATCTCAGTGCAATGAACTCTTAAGAGTAAATATTGCATTCACCTATGAAAAGTACATTTCATTTAAAATTTCTAGTAATGTAGGTCAATAATTTTTAGAAATAAACATATTTTATAATATATTGATATCAAAAACTCAATAAACAAGAGTAAACCTTGTCACTATATTAAAACTATCAATACCCAAAACATCTGTGACCTAAATATTCATATCAGAGGTATTTTGGCCAAAAGAAAATACCATTATTAGCTGAAAACAGAGGAATTAAGAAGTACTAAGTAGCTCTACATGCCTTAAGTAAATATTTTACTGTCAAATTTTCTTTATATACAAAAAAGCATCATGCAGTTTCACTGTAACACGCTACTATGAATAATCTACTATAATAACAAACTCCTTTGCAATTAGTAACTATATAAAATGAAATTATAATAATTTATAATTTAATTTACATCTGTGACACTATCCAACTTATCTCTACAAATGCCACTGAAAACTCAATTGATACTTGAAGACCTCGTTCAGCTATAACTCACAGGGTTATTTCCCTGCCAGTAAACTGTTTACCTGCTGTGTAGTTTCTAAGGGTCGGATTCTTTTCTTCTCTACTTGAAAATCATCATTTTCATCTCTGTTCATGGATGCCTGTTTCTTAGCAGATAGTTTCGCAGCCAGTGTAGTTTTTTCAGGAGAGTCTTATATAAGAAGCCATTGAAAAATTAGTATAAGTAACTTACATTTAGGCAATTTTTCTAGAAAAAAATTGGAATCAAGATGTAAGACTTTAATCCATAAAAATACTGAATCACTATGCTATATACCCAAAACTAATATTGTAAATCAACTATATTTCAATTTTAAAAAGATGTTCAGACTTATTTCGAAAAACCTAGTAACATACTTTAAAACATGAAATGGTAAACATCTTTTAAAAGCACTTATTTACTACTCAGTTTACTTTAACAAAGACACAGCAAAATTTTTGAGAAATGTACTTTCAATAGGGAAGTCCAATTTTGATTTTTAATAGGTTTATGCTTTTATAGACCACTCCTGATAACACGGTTTAAAAAATATAACTATCAAACTCTCTCAAAAATTTTTCATCTCTATAAAAATCTTTATTTACAGTGTCTCAATGTTCCTTTTCTACTGTTTCTCAATGTTCTTTAGGCTTAAAAATAGAGTAGAATCAAGCTCCTATAATCTGCTTTTTAATCCCACAATTCTGAAAGCTCAATCTCAAGGTTACCAGTGACCTCAATCACCAAATATTATCCCCATTGCATGAATATAAACACTAGGTTTTAAAGAAGTAACATGCTCACATCATACAGCTACTAAAAGGCAGAGCCTGGATCTGACTGGCTCCTGCTGTCTGACTCCAAAATCCGTACACATAACCTCTAGGCATACAGCCAAACACAACACTGTCTTCTTGGAACATAAGAAACACATTTCCTTTTGCCTTAATGTCTTAACACTGTTCTTTACCATTCCTATACATTAAGTTTCTCCCTTTCCCTAAATGTGAGTGTTCTTCAAAGTGCCTTCCTTACTCTTGGCTCTTCTCTACAGTCCCTCCACTCCTAGGGCTTGAATTCATTTAACAAGCATTCATTATACTGAGTCCATATAATTCCAGACACCATGGAAAAACAATGAAGACAGTTCCTGGCCTTAAAGGATTCACAGACTATTAGGAGAGAAAGTCCTATAAGCAGGTCCAAAATCATTTCCAAAAAACAAGTTTGAACCTCCACAAACACAGAAGTGATCTATGTCACACAGCACTGGTTTTTCAAGCTTCTTCTGAAGAGGACTGCATTTTTTAAAGAAATATTGTTTAAAATCTCTAAAATAGGATGAAAGACCTAGAACTTCCCTGATCTACTGTCCCCTTCTCTCTATAAGCTATGTTGCTTCCTAAGACTCTTAGGAACATAGTTTGAAAACCACTATATTCTAAAATCTTACTAGTTCTGCCTTTCATACCTAGGTCTTTAATCTACCTGGAGTGAATGTTTGTGTATGGAGCAAAGCAGGGCTCCAATTTTAATTTTTTCCATATGGATATTGAAAATAGCACAGTACCACCCATAGAAAAGTCCCTCCAGTGCCTTCTGCTCTGTAGGAGCACTTCTTGTAAAAAAAAAAAAAATCAAGTCTTTGTATATATGTGAAACAGAATTTTCCACTGTGCTAATACCAAATGATTTTAATTATTATAGCTATTTTAATAAATCAGGATATTGCACAGATCAAGTCCTTTCACCTTGACCTGCTTCTTGCAACTGTTTTGGCTACTGTTAGTACTTTGCATTTCCATATATATTTTAGAAAAAATATGTAATTTTGAGATCTATAATTTTCTGGTAAACTAGTAAAATAACTATAAAACAAATCTAGGTAAGTGGTTCTCAACTGGGGGTGATTTTAACAACGTTACCCTCTACTCCAGGGACACTGGATAACGTCTGAAGACATTTTTGGTTGTCAGAAGATGGGGGGTGGGGAAGGATGTACTACTGGCACCTAGTGGGTTATGGCCTGGGAGATGCTTGTAGACACCCCACAATGCACAGGACAGCCTCCACAACAAAGAATCATCTCATTCAAAATGTTAATAGGACCACTGCTGAGAAGCCCTGCGCCAAATAATTCAAGGGGCAAGTATGCGCTCATTAAAGGGTAGGGACTATCCATCAAAAACAATAATTTAGTTTTAGAAAAACTGAACTGCCATGTGCCAAATAAGATTAACCTCAATTCATTAAAAAATATATATATTATCTACATATACAAAAAGGCTTATCTTCCTGTCCATTATAAGCAGGGAAGTTTGCAGGAAGTTTACCAAAGGGGTTAAATCTTTAAAATACAAAGGTATAAGGAAACAAGAAATATCCAGAATATATTTTTTAAAAGATCCTAGAAATCAGTAAGAAACAACCCAAAAGGAAAATGGGCAAATGAGTTGAACAGGCAGTTCACTAAAAGGGATATTCAAATGACCAATAAGCATATAAAAAGATGCTCAACCTCACTGGTCACCAGAGAAGTATCAATTAAAATATCACACATGCATCAGAATGGCTAAAATTTAAAGAGTAGAAATATCAAGTGCTAACAAGAATGTTGAACAATGTAACTTCCATATACTTCTAGCTGTAGGGTGGAGGGGTGGTGCAAAAAATGGTTCAGCCATTTTGGAAAATGTTAGCAGTATCTACTATTTATTGCTGAACATATGCATGCACTGTGACCAGCAATTCCATTCCTTGGTATTACATCTAATAGAAAATCTTTACTTACTTGTAGCAGAATGAACAAGAATGTAAAAGAATGTTCACAATAGCATTAATAACCAAAAGCAGAAACCACCCAAAAGTCTAACAATTGTAGAATAAACTAATAACGTACAAAATATTCATAGAAGGAAGTAACGCACAGCAACAAGAACTACTACTATATGCAACAGCACAAATGAATCTCAGAAATACAGCATTAAGTGGAAGCAGACATACACAAGAGTACAGATATAATTCCATTTCTATAAATAGAAGCAAAACTCATCAATGGGGACAGAAGGGAGGACAGCAATTACCTGTGGAGAGAAAGAACAGTGACTGGAAAAAAGCATGAGAAGTATCACTGGGGTGTTGGTTATACCCTATTTTTCACCTAGGAGGTCGTTACAAAAGTGTGCTTACTTTGTGAAAATTCATCAAGCTATACACATAAGATTTGTGCATTTTTCTGTATTTAGGTCATATCTTTTTAAGAAAATTACTTAAAAATATAAAGAGAATGTCAGGATACAACCCAGATTTACCCAATCTGATCCTTGAAGAGACTATTCTAAACAACTGTAACTCACAGTAATGTTAAAGTTCAAGTTGTGTACCTACTGACAACTGATTTTTTTGTAAAGGCACAAAGGTAATGAAGTGGATAAAGGAGAGCCTTTTCAATAAATGGTGCTGAACAATTAGATACCTACAAGCAAAATAACTGAACTTGGATCCACACCTTGCACCACACACAAAAATTAACTCAAAATGGACCTTAGACCTGAAAGTAAAACCTAAAACTGTATTTGATTAAAAGAAGAAACTTGTTTTCTTGTTTCAAATTACATAAAGCACTCTCAAAACTTAACAATAAAAAAAAATGAGCAGGCAAAAGGTTTGAACAGACATTTCATCAAAGAAGATACACAAATGGCTAATAAGTACATGCAAAGATGATCAATATCATAAGTCATTAGGGAAATACAAACTAAAATCACAGTATCACTACAAGCTGATTAGAATGGCTAAAAAGATTGACCATACCAGGTGTTGGCAAGAATGTAGAGAAATGGGAACTCTGAATACACTGCTGGTGGGACTATAAAATGGTATAACCACTTTGGGAAGCAGTTTGGAAGTTTCTCAAAAAGTTAAATGCAAGTGATTTAGTTATTTACCCAGAAAAATCAAAGTATATATCCATAACAATAACTTATTCATACACAAATTTTCAGAGTAGCTTTATTTTTAACAGTCCAAAACTAGAAACAACTCAGATATACTTCCACAAGTGACTAGAAACACAATTTGTAGCATATCCATACAATAGAACATTATTCAGCAACAAAAAAGGACAAACTGCTGATACATGCAAAAACATGGATGAATTTCAAAAGAATTATGTTAAGTGAAAGAAGCTAGACAAAATAAGCACACAAACTGTATTATTCCATTTATATAAACTCTAGAAGATACAAACTAATCTGTGGTGACAGGAGATCCGTGGTTGTTTGGGGAGGGTGAACTGTAGAGGGGTGGAAAGGAGGGATAGCAAAGGGGCAGGAGGAAACTTTTTGAAGGTGATGGATATATTCACTATCTTGATGTCAGTGAAAGTTTCAGGGAGATACACCTTTGTCAAAACTTATCAAAATGTACCATTTAAACATACACCATTTGTTAGGTAAATTTCAATAAAGCTGTTTTTAAAAAAATACAGATTGTACATAAATATTATAAACCAGTGTTCTTATAATTAGCTCCAAGTCAGTTCCATTCATTCACACAAGAAATATTTACCTAGCTCCTACTATATGCTAGGCACTCACCAGGTATACAGTGGTGAGCAAGCTGGCACAGTCCCTGACCTCATGGAGTATACAGTCTGCTAAGAGAAGCAGAGAGTAATAAAAGATGCACACAGACACATGGATAATACAAACTGTGACAAGTACTAGGAAGGAGAGGTACACAGTGAGATGACAGACTACAACAGAGAAACGAAATCTAGTCTGACAGAAAGGATGGTATGGCTCCCTTTAAGAATTGATATTTAAGCTGAGAGCTAAAAGAAGAGCAGGATAACAAGACAAAGAAGGAACTTTTCTCTAAAGAAACACTAATGCAAGCAAAGGGTCTGGAGGCAGGAGAAAGCATGACCCTTTGAAGGAACGGAAAGAAAGCCAAAAGAGTAAAGGGTCAAAACAGCGTAGTCAACACCACTGGCCGCCTCTCCGGCATCTATTCCACCTCCACTTCCTCATTCCTAACAGAATCACACTTTAGCTCAAGCAGCAAGCATCCTCCTCTCGTCATGTGCTTTGGAGGAAGATGACTCCATCCTTGATTGTAGGAAGTAGACACTGTCTAGACTCAAGTCAATCATGGCGGCCTCTTTTCTCCCTGCCAGTGATTAGCTAAGTAATGGCATAAGTGAAAGCAGGAAATGGAGTTATTACATGCTCTAAGCAAGAGACGGTAGTTTGGACTAGGGAAGCATCAGTGGAGACAGAGTTTGCTAAAATTTGCAAGGAGGAATAAGGAAAAGTGTACAGGATGTCTCGTAGGTTTCTGGCTTAGCAAATAAAGGTCAATCCTTTCCATATAGTCAAAGCAGAAGAAGTATTTTTTAAATTAATAATGTTATGTTATTCTTAATATATTTCTCTTACATAAATCTAATAAGAACTACTTAAAGATCATACTTGAAACATACCTGATCTCATGTAGGATACTGGTCTCAGAAGTTCAGGCAAACATCAAGAATGAATGAGGCTAATTAGATTTTGTCTTACAACACAAATCAAAATATTTTATAAAATTCTAACATATAATTAACAGTACTGCCTACAAATGACATCAATTGCTGACTATCATTCATTTTGCCTTGACTTCTTCAAAAATGATTTAAGCTGGCAAGATGTCTGAATCAATTAAAAGTTAAGCCAAGAATAAAGATTTCTGACCATTCTGTGTGTTATTTAAAATAATTCCAGGGGGGAGGGTATAGCTCAAGTGGTAGAGTGCATGCTTAGCATACGCGAGGTCCTGGGTTCAATCCCCAGTACCTCCTCCAAAATTAAATAAGCCTAATTACCTCCCCCTGCCAAAAAAATTAATAAATCAAATTAAATTAAAAAAATAATAATAATTTCAGAGAAATGAGGTAGAAATACATAATCAATTATTCTAACCAAGTTTATCTAAATTAGGTATTATAACAGCGATAAATAAAAATCTTATTACAGATACCAACAGACTCAGGCAAAATATAAACTACCTTGACACACTGACGAAGTGCCACTTCTTTCAGAAGGTGGTGTACTTGGACTGCTGAAATGATATGAAGCTCCTTGGTTCATGTCATTGTTTGTAAAATTCTTTGAATGGCAAGTGCAGCAACAAGATAATGGTACTTCAGTTTTTTCACTCAAGCTTTCATCCACTGGCTTCCCTAAAAATGAAAGAACCGCATTATAATATTTCTAATTTTAAAAATGTTAATCTTCCTCTGCAGGGTGGGTGCACAACCACCCCAATTCGCCCAGGACTGGGAGGTTTCCCAGGATGCAAGATTTTCAGTGCTAAAACCGGGGAAGTGCCTGGCAAATCTCGACAAGGTGGACACCCTTTCTGCAGCATCATGTCAGGACAGGAGAGAAACACTTATGCCAGAAACATTTATAGAGAAATTATCAACAATTTACATAATTTACAAAAATCTAATAATAGTCAAAGATTAATAATGTAATAAAGGCACAACCACTAAAGCATTCATTTATATTGAGATTTATTAAAAAGTCAAGCATAGACGATTAAAAAAAGACCTAAAGTATATTCTTAATTACTGCTATTTCCCTAAATGAAGAATTTGAAAGTTCAATATATTAAATAATAATGTAAACACACAAGGGTTAAATCATTCCCACATTATACTTCTATTTCAAAAAGAAACATATTTGATGATATTTCTGATAATGTATCAAAATACATTTTAAGGGCAATATTCAAATGAAATTTAAAAAGTAGTTTTAATACTTAAACATAATACAGAATTGTAATAGGTCTACATTGTGTACCTACACTGTATAAATATATACTTCATAGATACAAAAAACTGAATAATTAATTTTCTTTTCTATAAACAGTACAGACATTATTGTCCCATCTGTACTATATAAATACTACTAATTTTATTTTTCAGTCTCCCATTAAAATTTTAAGTTATTAACAGATAATTTGATTTTTTCCCAAAGATAGAAATATTTATTTTTATTTTTAATAGTCTTATCAGTAGCACAAACATCTTCTTTCAAAAAAACACATATATATGTATGTATTTATATACATATACATGCACATACCCATGGTTAACTTTAAATTCTCCTAATACTTTAGGTCAAAGCTATCTAATTATGTAACTAAAATGTATCCAATATTTATATTTCAGATACATTATGTATATTAGGTAGTCTTTCACAAAAGTACATGTTACTGAACATTCGTTAGCAAATAAAGTAATGGGAAATCATATAAATTCATAAAAACAATACTACAAAAAAACTGCTTATCTGGCATCCAAACAAGTAGAAAGATCAAATAGAATGTTCTCTTTTTGATGTTATTTCATGTTCTAATGTTATGAAGGGACAGATAAACAACTATATTAAAGAGTTTACTCAAAAAAGCAATTATTTGTATATGCTGTCTACTCTTGATGGATCCATCTCTTGCTTCTTTTACATACATATCATCACTTAATTATTTTCATAACTATCATTATGAAAACAAGCATTCCGAGATTCTTATGTACACCCTAAATCATCAAATAAAGGACTACCATGTGTTCAAAATTGTTTTAGGTTTAATTGAACACATTTTGCTATATTGACACTCTTTTGGAAGAATCATAATTGATTATAAAGAAACATCCTAAAAAACAGTATTCAAATTAACTACAACGTGGCTGAATCCTTCTGAATAAAAAGTATTTTATTATATTTTTTCCAGGTCCCATAAGTAACCTGACTGTATCAACCAATGACTTACCACTAAGAGATCGTTGCCACGCTAAAGCAGAACAAAGCAAGGCTAAGCTTTTCCCACTTCCTGTGGGGCTCTCCAACAAACAGTGTTGCTTACTATTTAGTCCTCTGACGATCTATCAACACAAAAATAATAAAAAGATCAATAAATAATAATTTACTTCCTTAGGGTCTCTCGCCATACAACAACGAGAAGTAGAGTTACATGCACTTTGGGGAACATAGCAATACAATAGTAGAAAGGAGAACTAGAATTTAGTTAAATCTAGACTTTATGCGTTTATACATCTCCCTAAAATCATGTTAAAGCATATCAAGCACAAAAGAAATGAAAAGCAATTTGTTCCTTACTTATGCAAGCACCATCATTTCTCTAAAACTAGAATACACTAATACCTTTGATGAAATCTTAATGGGGGATACTGTTAGTGGGAGTGTAAATTGTTACAATTATTTCATACAGAATTAACAACTAGTAAAGTTGAAGATACTCAATGTCAGCAAGTCCAGTTCTTTGTAAATACCCAAAACCTTTCCCACATGAACACAAGGGAAACATTTATGTAAGACAGCTCATAGCAGCACTGTTAATAATTGCAAAATTATGTAAACAATCTAAATGACTATCAAGAAGAAAGTGGGTAAATAAAATTCTGGCATATTCGTAAAATGGAATACTAAACAGCAATTCAAATGGATTAACAATCAACCCCATAATGTTAAGCAAAAAAAAAAAAATCAATTTCTGTACCTAAGTATAGTATCATATCATGGAACGTTTAAAAATATGTAAAGTAATATTCTAAACTATTTATGGATATATTATATGTAATGAAAGTACAAAAACATGGCTAGGAAAGAAAAAAGACCAAGTTCAGGATACTAGTTATCCTGTTACTTGTAAACAAGGTATAAAGTAAATATGGCAAAATATTAAGGTTTAACAAAACTGGCAAGTTGGTTTACTCAGTTTTGTATATTAATTTTCTATATGATCAAAATACCTCAAAAAATTATGGTAAAAAAATATACTATTCTGTGTAAAAGACAGTAAATATTTTGTATCTCAAAGTAATTCAGTAAGTAGAGCAGTAATTCAGTAAAGTAAATAGAAGTTCCAAATGAGCTAAGAACATTTTCCAGAATGTTCTTATTTGCCTCCTAAACATATAATATACAGTTTAGCAGTGACCAGTATTATTTTTCCGAACGTTAGATGTACTTCAGTTAACCCAGCAAATATTTTTGATCCATTTACTATTGAGAAAATGTAGCCACAGACTCAAAGTTTGTTATGAATTATAAGCAACTGTATCTTAATAAAGACCTAAAATAACTGCTGAAAAATACTTACAGAATTCATCATAGCAAGCTGTGACGGATAAGCTTTACAAGGAAAGTTAATCCTCACCCCACCAATTGTATATTCAGACGACACTGAAGACATCATGCTTTCTTTTTTATTTCAGATTCCTAACTGCAACAGAAATGAAAGTCAATACTGAAACAATGCCATTCAAAGAAAAGTAGATACCTAACAGTAGGTCAGAAGTCTAGAAATAAAAATTGCAATTAGTAAATGTATAAACAGAACAAACAGAAGTAAAAGAATGTCCTACATCTGTAAATCACAGTGATTAAGAGCATGTCTTGGAATCTGACAAATCTGGATTTGCATCCCTATTCTGCCAAAGCTGTGGACCAGGAGCTGGGCAGTATATCTATACTAGATCAGGTTCTGACATCTCAGATGTGTTACCCTGATCATGTCTCTTCACTTCTCCAGACTAAGATCTTTATCTGTAATAATCTCTAATTTAAAAACTGTTGTAAGGGAGAAAACATTGGCATATAGTAGGTGCTCAGTAGGGTCAGTAGGGCATAATGGAAGAAAAAACAAACTTTGGGGTAAGGCAAGCCTAAATTTGAATTCCATTGTGAATCACTCAACCTCCCAGAGCCTATTTCTTCTCCTCTGAAATAGAGATAGTAGTATTCATCTAATAGGGTTTTTAAGAAAATTAGCCAGGCACTGAATTAAGAATTAAATTAGGTAATGTACAGAATGTGCCTCAACTCCAGTATCTGACACAGAGGAAGTGATCTACTTTAATCCCTACCTCTTCTAAACCATCTTTTCTTAACCTAGATCTACAGATGTGATCTCTTGATATTGTATGCATAACTTTCTCTGCATGACTGAATTTTTTAAAGATAGTCCACAGATTCCTCAGTCCCAGAAATATACTCTAAGGAAATAATCGAAAACAGAGGGGAAATGAAAGACCCCGTTATCAACTGAGGAATTATTTGCAATAGTGGAGAAAAATGGTAAATTCTGGGGATGGAGAGATGGGTAAAATACCAGTTTAACAGATTATGAAGCCAATAATCTTAACCATAGTTTACGTGTCCCCAAAGAAGTTAAGCACCACTATTCTGTTTTCCAGTTCTACTATTTTGTGGTTCCATTTGTGAAGCTCTAAGAATGCAATTCGGTGGAATTCAACCCCTTAATCTAAACCAACAACTCAAGGCTGGTCTAGGTACTCAGATATAACTGGAAACCCATCAATCCTCGCCCCAGCTGTGGCAACAGGCATTGCAAAATGGGGAAGCTTAGCCCATACATGGATAAAGGACATTCCGACCCATCTGGCTCCCGCCGCCGCCCCCTCCCGCCCAGAGTTAACGCGGCGCCCCGGGCTAGTAACAACAGGCCTCTGCTCCGAGGAGTAAGTGCAGGCTCCCCACCCCACCCCACCCCACCCCCTCCAGCTTTTCTTCCTCGTATTCCCTCCTCCCTCAGCAAATTGAGACTTTGCGAGGCCGCGATGAGCCAGTCGACGCCGCTGGGCCTGCAAGGCGGGTGGACGAAAGCACAAGGCACGCTTCGGGCGGGTTTCGCCCCCTCCCTACGAAAGACAGACTTGCCGCCCTCAGGAAAACCCCAACAACGCTGACTGAGCTCCCGGTCCCAGGAGAAAAGGAAACCGAAATCCGTGAGCTAACACAGCGGAGCCCTGGCAGAGGAAGAAGGGTCTACCCTGTCCCCTCTTCCTCCCCACGCTGCCGCTGCTCCCGGGCCTGCTGGCGGGCTGCGGCCGCTTCTTTACCTCTTCTGCCGTTCTGCT